GGGGGGAGGAGCATGTTAGGGGGAGGAGTATGCTAAGGGGAGGAGTGTGCTGGGGGAGGAGCGTGGTGGGGAGGAGCATGTTAGGGGGAGGAGCGTGGTGGGGAGGAGCATGTTAGGGGGAGGAGTATGCTAAGGGGAGGAGCGTGCTAGGGGGAGGAGCGTGGTGGGGAGGAGCATGTTAGGGGGAGGAGCGTGCTAGAGAGAGAAGCTTGCTAGGGGAGGAGCATGTTAGTTTATAGCTTTATTTTGGGAAAGGAAAAGCACCGGGACAAAGCCCTACCCTTAACTTTGTGTTCAGTTTCTTCCACCAACACCAGCTGATGCCCACGGGATGAACTACCTCAGGTCCCTGTGACACCATAGGGCCACAGAGCAGACAGGGTCTCCTCACTGGAGACTGAGCCACAAGCAAATGAGTAAAGAACCTGCCCTGGCATCACTGTTCCCAAAAAGTCATCCTTCACGCACCAACTCAGCCATTCATTCATTCATTCATTCATTCATCTACCAGTTGCACTGTGAGCACCTGTGCCAGACACTCAAGGCTGCACACATGGGTGGCCCATACAAAGGGAGTCAAGTCCCTTTAGGAAGGCCTCCAATACCAAAGACTTCGACCAACAAGTGGGACGTCACAGCCCAGGGGAGCACGAGAGGGAGGTGCAACACCCAATCTGAGAGGCCAGGGAAGTCTCCAAGGTGGCACAGGGGCAGGTTTAGGAGGATCAGGGCAAGGCAGGGATGACACGTCCCAGGAGCCATGTCCTCCCAAGCACCAGGTGTGCTCCGTGTGCAGGACCTACCCAGCCATTCATTGAACTTCTTCACCTCGCTCGGGAGCCCTAGCTCCGTGAAGTCCCCGGCATGGATCAGCACATCACCATAGGGCATCTGGATGGGGTCTGTCCTTGAGTGGGTGTCAGAAACACAGACGAAGCGTGTGTAGCCAGGTGGCTTTGGGGCGTCGTGAGGCACTGGGTCCACCCTGCAGGGAGAGAAGATGCGGTGGGTTACAGGGGTCACAGAGCTGTGACCCCGTGGGGTATTGGGTCCTCAAAATACAACCACTCCATGCTCCCAGCCATAGCAACTCAGAGACTAGCCAACTGGACAAGAGCCGTGTGTGGCCTTCTGGCGGGTCCAGAAAAACGTTCTTGTCTTCTGTGCCTCAGTTTCCACTCTGTCCCATGGTGTAAGGGCTAATCTTCATTGTCAACTTGATGGAATTTTGGATCACCAAGGAAACACAGAACTAGGAGTTTGTGAAACCCTTCCCTAAAGGTTTCATCTTGAATGTAGGGAGCACCGTTGGAGTCCTGCTAGCTGAACGCCAGCAGTCATCTGGTCCTGCTACCTGATTCTGGATAGAGAGGGACCAGCTCCACCACGTTCCCGCCATCATGCCTTTCAAGCCACGGCAGACTGTGCCCTCTCCAACTCTGAGCCAAAATAAACCTTTCTTACGCTGCTTGGTCTGCTTCGTTTGTTTGTTTGATCATAGCAATGTGAGAACCTCAGAGAACCTCCAAGTGCCTGATCGCCATGCCCACGTGCAGCGACAATTACAGCCCAGCTGGTTCTGGGCAGTTCCCAGCTCTGCTATCACTGCTGGGCCCGTGGAGTTTTAATCACAGAATCACTGTCTCCTGTGCTAGCTGCCTATGGTTGGTTTTTTTTTTTTTCCAACCTCTCAAAACCAGCTTCCACCCCTGGGGGGCACTATTGCCCCGCTGATGTTGAGTGGCCTGAAATACTGGTCCATTCAAAAGAACTAACTGGTCCTGAGCTCAGCACTCAGCTCTGGAAGGATGCAGGATGCGGAAGCCACATTGCCCAGGAAAACAACAGGCGAGGCCCTTCCCCTTCCCTCTCTTCTCCTCCCCCCACCGCCAAAAGAGAGGTAAGAGTTCTCCCAGGACTGATACAGCGTGGTCATTTTGATACCAAGAGGCTTCTGGGATTGTGTAAAACAACACCCCTGCAGTCAGAAAACCAGCTCCCCGAAACCAGCTCTGCCAATGTCACTTAGACACAAGCAGAACCCGTGGCCTGGGTCTGCACCTTCCTGGACAAGAACACTCCAGAAATTAAAAGAACATAGCTAATTAAGCTCCATCCCCATTCCCAGGAGCTCTTGCAGCCAGCCAAGGACCTGCCTTAGGCCCCCAGTCCAGTGTTCCTCGCACTGCATACCGCATCCCCAACTAAATGACTTCACCAGGCTCACAACGCTTAAAAACAATGCAATGACATTTCAACAAGCAGCCCTCTCCAAACGAGTACGCCGCTCGAGGAGTCGTGTTTAAATCTAATTATGCGTCAAACCAAAAGCAGTACCGTATCAGTTACATAAATACTTTTAAAGACATCTTTCTAATTATCCTTTTTTTTTCAGACAATATACTTCGGAGAAATTTAATTAACACCTTATGAGAGACATGGGTTCAGCATGCTAATGTGTACGGTGCCTCCTCAAGCTGGATCTGCAGCAGGTGGAGGCACCATGCCAGCCTCTCCTCCATCTCTGAGGCACCACAGCGGGTAATACCCTGGTCCCCCTTTGGGGGCTGTTAAGCCAAGACAGAGCCTCAGCGGCTTGGAGACAGGCCGGCTAGAAAGATAGGTTAATTTGCCAAGTGAGTTCAATGATGGGCAGCCAGGAAGGTGCTGGGCTCTCGTCTCCTCTCACTGTCCACCGTTCTGTGTTCAATTAGCACAAGTACTGAGTTCCTAATAGGTACCAACTTCTGAGGCCAGTGAGGGTCAGAGGGAGGAGTGAGCAAGGGCCCTGCCCGCCAGGAGCCCACAGCTTACAGGCAACACAGATTTGACTAGATTGTGTCTCTGCAGTCCCGGTTTAATAGGGCAATGGAAGGCTTAAAGACCAGAGAGGACCCTAACCTGTTCTGGGTTCCTGGAAGCTTCCAGAAGGAGGCAGTATGTGACCAGATCTGGAAGGCGAATCTCCCTGCAATTCTCACTTTTCCTATGTCCGCTGGGACTCTCAGCACCTCCTCTCCAAGGCAGGCTAACAGGTTCAGGGTGTGCGGGTCCCCCATCTGTGCTCTCTGCCCATCCCGACAGCCCTGACTGGACCACGGGCAGCCAATCAGCGCTGGACGAGCTATACCAGTGGACACTGAAACCCAGCCAAACCAAACACATCCATTTGTTCTCCCATCTCACCCAACACACGCAAACATGCACATGTGCACACACGCGCGTGCATACACACACACACTTTATAGATGTCATAAAGTTACAAAGTCAAAGAAATTGAGAGGAAGGAAGAAGGGGGGCTGGGAGTATGGTGGGACCAGCAGTCTCTCCTTAGGAGGCGACCTGGCCACCAGGCAGCTGAGGGCTCTCATCAACAGGAGCGGTTGTGGGAGCCCGAGCTCTTTAATTAACTTTACCTTACTTCCCTGCACCCCGGGGCTTCTGAGAACTGCGGAGATGGAAGCCTAGAGATCCCCAGAGAGCAAGCGAGCTAACGTCTCCTTTCCCCAGCTCAGTTCTGCGGCAAAGCTGCTTGCCCAACCTTGCACGGAAAGAGAACCGTGCTCCACTCCCAGTGTCTGGGAGCTCAGCACGGAACTCGACAGCGTCCTCACAGGTTCTCTCCTCTCCTCCCTCCCGGTGACCCTCGGCAAAGTAGCCTGCTGGCATTCCCGTTTTACAGGTGACAAAACTGAGGCTCGGGAAAAGGCTGTTTCCCCCACAGAAGCTGACTTCAGGGGGCTACGGAGATCACTCAGTGGGTAAAGCACCTTCAGCTCTGTCCCCAAAAGCCATGGACAGCAGCATGGCTGGTGTCAAACACCAACACAGGCCTCATAGGAGACATATTGTCCCTCAGGTGCCCCCAGAGAAAAGGGTGTTTTGAAGTCTGAGGTTCCTGTAACATGGACAGCTGTGGGCCTGGGCCATGTTGTCTGAGAATCCTGTAAAAGAGGAGACTGAAGCCCAAAGCAGGAAGTGAACAGACTGTCCATTCGACACAACTGCCCCGGCCCTCTCTTTCTAGTGCTCTGCCCAAGAAGGGCAGATTCCAAGGTGACCTGCCAACCCTGCCCATACACACCTTCAGTCTGTACTGCCTGCTATCGCTCAGCCCTGGGCTAGCCGGTCCTTCCAGCTGGGGTGCTCCATTCTGCTTCCCTCAAAGGCTGCAGCACCTCAGAGCCCAGACCCTCCCGCATCCCCAGGGCTCTTCCTGGCCTCATCCTCCCTCCTGCCTCCTTCTTTCTTTCCATTTGCCATATAAGGGCCCAGACACAGGTAGGGGCGCAGAGGTGCCTAGGAACTGCACCCCTTCAGAAAGCATCTGCAGCTGGGACAGGGCCAGGACATGTGTGACCAGTAGGAGTTGGAGAAGACTTTCCTAAAGAGTGGCCCATGAAGGACACAGTACACAGGGCCGAGAGCTAGAGAAGCCATGGAGCAACAGCCATGCAAAGATCCGAGGCTGGGCTGAGGAGATAACTCCATCAGGAAAGCACTGGCCTCAGAAGCAGAAGGACCCCGGGGTTCAGTCCATAGAAGTCAAGTGAAAACTGTACAGAGATTCATGCCTGTAATCCCAGCACTGGGAAGGTGCAGAGGCTCCTGGTAAGGAGGTGGTAAGATCCAGGTCAACAAAAGTAAGGTGGACAGCTACTGAGGAGCCACACCTCTGGCCTCCACGAGTACACACACACACGCCAGATGCACATACATATCACACATTCACACAGCATACACACACCACACTCTCGCACACATATACCATACCACATGCAAACAAACATACCACACACACACACGCACACCAGGTCACCAGGTGCACGCACCACATATTCACACAGCACACACAACACATACACACATGTGTGCACATGCATACATGTGCAAACACATGTACATGGACACAGACATATACATACCACACACATACACACACCATGTGCACACATACATGTATACATATGTACACACCACACTCATACACAAACATGTATCCACATGCACACACATGCAAACACACATAACACCTGGGGCAGGAGGAAGGCTAGAAGGTTTGGAAAACCAGAAGCAGCTGCTGTATCTGTGACCCAGGAATGCAGGGCATGCCGAGTCCTCTCCTACTTTGCCCCTGGCCCCTGCCCAGCTTCAGCCTGAGTCTGCGGCCTCTCAGCTAGTGGACGGGATGAGCCCACTGCACAGGGCCAAGTGGGTGTCCTGGCTGTGCATATATTCCACTTCCAAAGCCTTAGTTTCTGCCTCTGAAAGGAGGGGTCAGGTGTCAGCCCAGTCAAGTGCTGGGAAACGGGGCCAGAGGTTCCTCTCAGCCTAGCTCTGCTATTCCTGACTACACTCCAGCATCTAGCACTACCTGAGGGACCCAGAAGTCTTAAAGATTCTGACCCATATCTCCAGTAACCCCAAAAGAGCAGAGGGAAGAGTTTTTGCTTAGCACCGAGTGTGCCCATTCCTGGATACCTTCATGGCAGGCTCCAATAACTGTCCCTCCCGCTCACTGTCCACTCTTACACCTGCATTCCCAGGGTCCTGATGCCTGGAAGGCTCTCCCAGAACCTCCTGGATTTCTCAGCCCCAGGGGCCACAGCTAGAGTTCCCAGCTGCAGACAGTCATCACTCAGGCAAAGGCAGACAAGTTACCAGCAGGGTTTCGGGGCACCTGAGCAAATCACGCAGCTCAATGAGAGACCACGTCGAACTGTCACTGTTATTATCAAATACAGACTGTGGATTTATTAAATAGGGCTACCCCTTACTCCCTCACCCCAGAGACAAAGCCCATGGCAGTGACGAGACACCAAGCAGGAAGCAGCATCCACCTGCACACCTCTCTGGGAGGCAGAGTGGCCACGTGTGAAGGAATCCCCTACAGCCTGCAGGCCTCCTCCAGCTCCCCAGCGGCCACTCAGCCCCGTTGCTCATGGAAGCCAGGTTCTCGCTGACTATTTAAGCAGGCCAAACAGGAGAGTTCCAGACCAGGAAGACACCAGACAGACAGACAGGAAAGCCGCCATGCTTTTTCTCCACGGCTTTTGCTGTTACAAGTGTCACGCACTGTCTTGCTCTGATGACCTACAGCTGCCCATCAGCTGATACCTGGAACGCAAACCCCGTGAGAGCAGGCAGCTGCCTCTGATCACTTCAAGCATTAAGCTCCACACCCAGGCCTGGCTCGTGCTACAACGATGACCACCAGCCGCTCACATTATGCTACTACATGGGGACTTCTCCATTGCGCCCTCGGCATCACTGTAAACATCACTTTGCAGTTGGGGAAACTGAGGCCTCAAACAGTGAGAGCCCCACCCAGGTAGACTAGTCCAGGACCCACATTTCTAACCTACAAGCTGCCTAACTGTTCCCAAGGAACTTGAATGAATGAACAAAGGAAGGGAGAGGGGAGGGAAGGACCGGCCTCCACTGCTCCCGGGTGAAACGGGAACAGGCACCTTCTCTCACTCATCGACTCGCTGCCCTTCCCCAGGACACAGTCTGGCCCCAGGGCCTATAGCCAACCTCTCCTTCAGGGGTCCCTCTACCCAGCAGGCACCTCTGAGATTCTCAGACACCCTCTCCAGCCCTCTGGGGGCTCTACCCTTACACTCCTTCTCCCTAGCCCAGGGAACCCTAATACCCCTTGCCAATCGTCCCCCAATCTTGAAGGTTTCAACTAGAATCTACCTCATCCAGAAGGACGTTCCAGACACCCCAAATTGGATGGGCCCTCCTCAGCTCTTTTCTCTTATTGTCTTATCTGTGTGGCTTTTTTTCTCAGGCTAGGGTCTGCACAGATCCACCCAACCCAGTCACATTCCCCCAATAGCCCCAGAGGGCAACATCCCTGAGGCCAGGACACCCACAAATGAGTGTATCTACAAATGTACTCCCATCAGCACCAACTGCTCTGCCTGAGGGCCTGGGGCTTTCCCACATTCCCACTGGACAGGACCAACCCTAGCATCAGGGACCTGAGTATCATCATCTCCAGTCCTAACAACAACAACAAAAAAAAAAAATTTAAGCAGGGAAAGGCAGGCCTCTGTCCGCAGCATCCCTACCAGGCTGCTAGGTGCCAAAGACCAAAAAGCACCATGCCCTCGATGGTGCACTCAGCTGCTTAAATCCTCCATAGTACTCAGCTAGAAACCCATCAAAAATGACACCTCCTGACCACGTGGGATGAAGCCTCTAGGAAGGAACATTGTTCCAGCAAGTGCTGCTGGGAAAGCAGGCATCCCCACATTGGAATCCCCACTCCAGACCACATGACTACCATCATCGATGCCCTTCTTCCCGGGAATTATCTCCCCAGAACACCGTTTAACAGAACAGGGGTTGCAGGCAGCCACACAGAAAGAAAGGACTGCGTACCACTCCACTGCCCGTCCCTCTGCATGCTGGGATCTGAGCAACTCACCCATTGTACACTGACCCTGAGTGACAGCTGCCGGGACCTCGTGAACCCACACACTACTCAGAAGTATGGCTCCAGCCCCTAGAGGAAGCTCAGTGTCTGTACCCCCAGGGACAACCTAATGTTCTTGGGAGGGCCTTCTAGCAACCCGAGGACACTAGTCACACTGGCCATAGCTGCTAGCTCCTCGTTCTGTCAGCAGGGAGCCATCAGTCTCTCCCCACTCTGAGTGGGATCAAGATGACCTTGACCCAGAAGGCACATGAGATGCTATGAATGTGTATGAAACAGAAAGGAGGTGTTCCTGGACCCCCTGACCTCCTCTGTAGAACACTTCAGAAGCATGGAGTTCAACAAAGGGAGAGGAGACAACTCATCCAGAATGGGGTCCTAACCTACTATTGGTCCTACAGCAAGACCCTCTCCCTGTCTGTGACTCAGTCTCCCTGTCGGAGCAAGTCAGACTAGGGGTTGAAATTCAGCCCCTCGACATTCCCCCCAGAACAAGTGAGCCTGCAGGTTGTGAAATTTCTGGTTCCATTGCCAAATCTTGAATCTCTCTGTACAATCATCTTACTTTCAAACACTTCTGAAGAATTCACCAAGTCCAATTAAAAGGGGTCCGAAGGGCCAGTGTGGGTCCCCGGGGCCACCAGTCTGGGGCTTCCCTTAGGTCCCTCCCAAACTTAACCCAAGCGTAGCACAGAGAGATTTGGTCCGCGAGCCCCTAGAGTGTGCGTTCACGGATGAGCCAGAAGCCAGGAGGAAACCACAGTCCTGTACCCGCCCGGTCCCTGAACATGGGCACTTACATCTGCACGTGAGGTGGCTGAAAGCGGCCCTGGTTGATGTTGTAGAAGGTGAAGGCCTGGGTGGGGTTGGAGCTGTACTCATCCACCTCAATAATGAGCCGGCCATGCGGGTGCCGCCGCGCCGCCATCACGTGTGACTGAGAGAACGCCATGCCCAGGCCGCAGGGGAGCAGGGCCAGGGCCTCGGCCTTCAGGATACCAGCATCCCACCTAGAGCGCCACATGGACCTCCGTGGGCCACCCGGGCATCTCCCACCACCGCCACCGCCGCCGCCGTCGCCTCCGCCGCTGTTGCCGGGTCCCCCGCCAGACCTGCAAACAGACTGGAGAGACAGAGCAGAACCATGCGACAGTTAATCTGTTTGGGATTTGTTTTATTTAATGTCAGATGAAGATTTAGAAAGAGGGAAAGGGTGGGGGGAAGAGGGGGAAAAAACACAGTTGCACACAGCTCAAAAACTCATTACAAATCTTTCCAACTCAGCAGTTTGATGAATATACTTTGGTAAAAAAGGAAAAGAGAAGGGAGGGAGAAGACCATGAGGAAAAGAAAAAAAAAAAAAAAAGCCCGCGATGCCATGGACGGATGCATGTGCGGTCCAACATGTTTAAATACTTCAGACATTTTTTTTTCCCCTCCAACAAGATTCTTGGAATCTACACGGTAGCTGAGCTGGGGACGAGACAATGGCTGGTATTTTGTAAACAGGGAAGTTAAATTTCTATTTTTCCGATTTGGGGAACAGGAAGGATTCCTGTCTAACTCCACCTCCTCCCCACATACTCCCCAAACACATCCGCAGAGCCACACCCACACCCCAGCAAGCCTAAGCAGGTAGAACAGCACAGGATGAAAATTCCTTCTTTACCATCAATTTAACCTCGGGACATCTTTTGGAGGCACCCAGAGAAGGGGTTTTCCAAGCAGTGGCCATACAGCCCCTCTGCTGAGGCAGTGCGGTGGTCCCAGGAGAAAAGCTGGGTGGAGAGGGTCTCCCTCCCTACACATCACCCTGGCCCCAGCAGGGTCCCAGGATCCAAGAACCCACCCAATCACACAGCGAAAATTCTATAGTTTTTCTTAATTTTTCTTCCAGTGGAAAGGTGCAGTTTGCCGATGAATTTAACTAGACTATAACTCCCCTGCGGCAGGTCCTGAGCCAGTTGTGTGGAGCCTGGAGGCATAGGCCAGGCCAGTGAGACAGCATTTATCTTGGTGACTTGTGCCTGCCTGGTCACTGACACCATGGTTCCCTCATCCCATTCTGAATAATTTTTTAATTGTGTGAGCAGTGACTTGAAGGGCTTTTTTGTTTGTTTGTTTGTTTGTTTTGTTTTGTTTTGTTTTTTTGCCTTGTTTTCGGGTTGTGCCTTTTAAGATCCTCCAGTGGCCCTGCTTATGCTGTATTTAACCAAGGAGAAAATCACATAGTTTAAATGATTCCTGGACACTTGGATCCCAGTCACATTAAAGAAAGAAAAATCCCCCTTGTTTTGTGTTCGGAAGGGGAATCGACACACTCCGAAAACAAATTAGATTAGGAAAATGACAAAAATTAGAGACTGGAGAACATTTTAATTACGTGCAAAGAGAAACGGGTTATTAATTCTTAAAAAAAATCTCAATCATCCCCATACAAGGTAAAATAAAACAGCAATAATCTCTCCTCTCAAAACATGGAAAGAAAGGGACAGTCCTGTCAGGCAAGGTAGAGTACAGCAGTGTTCTCGGGAGGCTGAGGCAGGAGGATAACTGTGAGTTTCAGACCTCATCTCACAAATATGGGAGAGCTAGATATGGTGAGATATGTCTGTAAGCCCAGTCCTTGAGAGGGAGGGGGGAACTTGGGAGCAGGAGTTCGAGATCATTCAAGTTTAAGGCCAGCCTGGGCTATATAACACCCCGTGGCTCGGTGGTTAAGAGTACTGTCTGCTCTTCCAGAAGACCCAGGTTCAATTCCCAGCAACCACATGGCAGCTCATGACTGTCTATAACTCCATTTCCAAGGATCTGACATTCTCACATAGACATGCATGCAGGTAAAACACCAATGTGGTTTACCAGCCCAAACCTCCTAGCCCAATCCTGTTCTCTCAGCCTGAGTCACTATCTTCCTGTCCACTCACTCTTCATCTCTAAGTGGACAAGGCCTTGGACCAGAACCTTCCTGCTGGGGTCCTGTGAGAAACCTGGATATCTGGTAAGAGCAGACCATGTGTCCCCAGGACTTATTCCTGTATGTTACCAGCTGTGACCACAAGCAAGCGCTCAACGCTCCCATGGGCAGTCTGGTCACCCACAACATGAAGAGAGCAGGAGTCCCCAGCTCAGAGTTGTGAATAGTAAACAAGATGACACCCATGAAAACTGGCTGTCACATGGCCTGGGGGTACACAGCAAGTGCTCAATGAATGCATCAGTCTCTCCCGGGTGGCCCATCACAAAGCTTCACAGATGGATGAAAAACATACATGGATGGATGGATGGATGGATGGATGGATGGATGGATGGATGGACGGACTGACAGATGTATGCATATGGACAGTGTCTGGTCAGATTCCTTCCCTAGCACCCAGCACAGACCTGGCAGAGAATGGGTGTCTGTGGATCCCAGTCCAAGCCTGAGGAGTCACAATCTTCTTCCCTTGACAGTCTTATGCCATCAGCCCATCAGAGTGCTGGTCACAGAGCCCAGCCTGGACCAAGGGGAATCGAGGGACACACACACACACACACACACACACACTGCCCCCCCCCCGGTAAGCAGGTGCCAGCAGAGACACCTCAGTGGGAAAGCTGCCTGGCAGCAGGAGATTCAGAGGGAAGAGGCAGGCAGGGAATACCAGGGTACCAGCCCTGCCATGCCGTGTTGCGCTTCACATAAAGAGGACTCACCGCAGGTCCTGCCTAGAGAAACCAAGGAAACCGAGAACCCAGTGCCTCCTTCTGAGCTTCCATTTCATGTGTATGGGCTGTTGCAGCAGCCGCCAGCACACCCACATGCAGTTCCGCAGTCCACTGAGGGAGAGGAGCTTCCCGGGAAAACGGCTTTCAGCAGGGAAATGCTCACACCTGGTCCCCAAATGTGCATGGTGGGTGACAAAGTTTTGAGTCAGTTCCCTGTCCCGTGGGGTGACCTTGAACCAGCTCACAGGACCTGGGGGGGGGTCCTGCCAGGACTACTTCAGGGGTTGGGAGATGCAGAAAGAAGTGGGGTAGAAGGAAGGAAGGAGGGAAGGAAGGAGAGAGAGAGGGAAGGAAGGATTGAAGAAAAGGAAGGAAGAAGGGAGGGAGAAAGGGAAAGAAGGAGGGAGGGAGGGAGGGAGAGAAAGGGGAAGGGAGGGAAGGGGGAGGGAGGGAAGAAAGGATTGAAGAAAAGGAATGAAGGAAGGAGGGAAGGAGAGAGGGAAGGAGGGAGGTGAGGGAGGGAGGAAGGAAAGAAGGAAGGAGAAAGGAAGAAAGGAAAGAAGGAAGAAAGGAATCCATCTTGTTCAACAAATATATTTCAGTTCCCACTTTCTGTCCCTGTCCCTTGTGCAAAAAGATAAATAAATAAATAAATAAATAAATAAATAAATAAATAAATAAATAAAAATACTGCAAACATAAAGAGGTCCCTGTCCCCAAGGAGTGGGATGGGAGCAGAGGGTAAATGCATACATAAACATGTATACTGTTTTCATGTAGCATCCGGAAGAAAACATAGTTTAGAAACAAGATAGCGCACAATGAGGGCTCTATCAATGGGATGATCATGAACGACGTTTACAAAGGAGCCGTCACCTAGTAGGACAGGTGAGTGACCCAGCCACACCCAGGCCTGGAGACAGAGAGCCGAGGCACAGGGGGCAGAGAAGCACCAGAGATAACCCTCCTGTTATTGTCCCTCTGGCTGTCTGCCAGCAGGCCTCTGGAATGAAGAGGTCACAGGGTACAAGTTCAGGTAATGTTGGGCACACGGCCTAATCTCTTTCCACTTCCCTATTGCTCTCCACCTGGAGTTATAGAAAGGGTAGAAGCAGCCACGTGTCTTCTCCTCCAGTGAAGAGCGTTGAGTTTGAAGGTTCTGGGCCTGCCAGGTTCAGCACTGGTGGACACATTCCCTCCATTTGGGGGACTAGCTTAAGTCTTATCCTCTTCTAAGACAGCCTTTCTCTGGAGCCATGGACACCAAGGGGCAGGCTGAACTGAGATGCCCACGATACAGGAAGCTGACACCCAGAGAAAAGGTCTCATTTCAGTACCCACACCCTAACTTTGTCTATCCTTTTTGGTTTTGGACTCTGTCACCACAGCCAGAACACACCAACCTCCAAGGGTGCTTGAAACTCACTCTGCCCAGTCCCTCTGGAACACCCAACCTCCTAGGAACAGCCGCTACCCTCCAGGAAAGCCAGCAACTCCAGACATGACAGGGCAACACCAGCCCAGTTCCCCCCTCACTCCTCAGCCTCAGCTCAGCCACTGGGTCTTCCCTACCAACCAGGAATCTGCACGAAGCCTCCATGAGAGCAGCTTCTCACACCACTCTGCTCCTGAATTTGACCACCTGTTTCCCGGCTCAGGGCCTTGGAGATGATATTCTACCAAGCCTCCCTAGGCTGTATCAGAGCCTCCACCCATGGCCACCAAATCCTCCCTGGTCAAAGCTCCCAATACTGGTCCTGGTCCTGTACCTGAGACAAATGAGAAACCAAAGTAGAAAATGATGGGTGATGGATGCATGAATAACATGGATGGATGCATGCGTCATAAACGGGTCTAGAGATGGGTATATGCATAGATGCATGGATGTATAGATGGACAGATGGATGCACAATGATACATAAATGGATATGTGTGGATGGATGGATGGATGGACGGACGGACAGATGTGTGGATAGACAGACAGATGTGTGAAAGGATGGATGTGTGTACACATGGATACAAGCATGACGGGCAGGCACAGTCTTTGCATCTGACAGACCATGTTTAAAACAACTTTCACTACCCCAAATCTGGGCTTTTCTTGGAAATGTGCAGATTCTAAATCTCCCTCACACAACGAGGCTCCAACACACAGTAGGTATTTAATCAATGTCTCATCTGCTCAGTGAGATGGTTTTAATAAAACCCAGAGTTCTGCGGGGAACTTCTGAGAACTCAGCTGAGATATTCAAATGGTCACAAACCCCTCTTTCTGCCTGGAGTCCTAGGGCCATCTAGGGGCCCTCCTCTCCCACC